TTAAAATATTTAATTTCAATTTTCTTAGTTGTGGCCAGATTGTGACGAGGTACTCATTAACATTACCTTCAATGGTAGAAAAATTGCAAACTGCAGCGAAATATTCAAGCGAGAAATAGTTTATTTCGAAGGCGTGTGCTTCATGGCCAACTCAATTTATTTTTAGTAATTATATATGAAGAAATCTAAATGGGCTAAAGAATAATGTGAATTTTATTTGATTTGTTCAGTGATTTAGATTGGGAAAAATTGCCATTGACCTTCTACAAAGACGGTGCAAAATTAAGTTTTGAAGTAATTCAGCATTGGGGTTATAGATATACGGTGCGTAATCACATCAATTTCTTTTCAAGGTGTAATTAAATAAGTTTCGCTTCAGGTTTCAGTGCATAGTCCCGATGAATTTCCGAATGTATTGATGAAGTCGATTCTGCGTTTTGAATTATATAAGGAGCAAAAATGGGATGTCAGAGTGATGGTAATTGAATCTTTCACCTCTTCTTTAATAAAAATGACGAAAAGTTAAAATACTCTTCAGACAACTCAAGTAAAAAATTCGGAAGATGTTCGAGATGTCTCGTTTGAGACGCGAAACTGCCTATTTTCGGATGAACGTTGGCCTGATGATGCATCTTTACCTTATAGTACTGTCTCGTGTTGGATTTACTTGCGGGTCTATTTTGAGCTTGAACTGTGCAATTGTACACTACACTTTGCACCGATTGAATGTAATATATTTTTGATTTAACGATTTTCTTATCAATGATGATCAATGATGATCAATGATGAGAGTGAGTCCGATTCGTTTGTTCCGACAGACAAAGATTATTACTGCAATTACACGCAAATGGAGTGCACCAAGGGCTATTTTATGGGACTTCTGGCAAATGAATATCATGATGAAGTAGAACCGTGCCCTCAGACTTGCACCGAAATGCACATTGATTTGGTGGGGTATGTCTCTTCTAAATTTTTATTGATTTTTTCCATAAATATTTTCATTATCGTTATTCAATTTCATGCATTAATTCGTAAATATTTGAATGATGCAAACATTCTATTTGCAGGTACAATAACCATTACAGGACCGAACCTTATACTCAATTCAATGAAAGCGATCCAGTAATAGCGATTTCGCCATTTTCAATTGAAGTGATTAATAAGCCAAAAGTGATAATGCGTGAAGTATCGTTCAGCGATCTCGACCTTGTTGTCACCATTGGCAGCATTATCGGTCTATTTTTTGCTGCTTCGTTTCTCAGTGTGGTTGAAACCATTTATATTTGGATTTTACGTAAATTTTAATTCACTTCATTTGCGCGCAACACGCTCACACACAAATGGATATCAATGTAATGGTAATATGGTGGAATTAGCCAAATGAAATTCGTTACAATTTCCAAGTCACGCCTTTTAAATTTATTAATATTAAATTGTTTTTTCTCACATTAAGCTAATATTCTTTTTTGAGATTATTAATTTTAATGGAATTAGAGTTTCCAACTGAATAACAATGTTTGAATATTGTTCGTTTTAAAAGTGAGAACCTAATAAATGTAAAAAAATTGGATAGTCTGTATTCAGTACGGTTATAGTCGGGCGTGAAAGTACATTGCAAAATGATTTCCGTGAGGTCTTTAAAATATTTTCGTGTCTTTTTCAAAAGTTCGTTAATTTTGAGGTGGAACAAGATTCGTCGATATTTCAAAAGTTCGTTTTTATCAAAATTTTGCGAAGAGACAAATCTCCATGGTTTCAAGCATATGACCAATAAATGTTATACTATACTCGAAAGGTTCCGATTGTATACATTTCAATTATACAACATGAACACTAGAGTTCTCAAGGAGCTACCAAACCCGACGCTGACCGAGTCTCGACACTCGAATTCTATTGGCTTCTTATTTCATTTGGCCCCAAAAATGGGTAGACGGATTCGAGTAGATAATTGTCGGGCCACGGATGGACTCGGATAACAAAAGTGTGGCTCGTTGAAAACTCCAATGAACTTTCAGATCTGACGCTTATTTCTAGATGTGTTTGGTCATTGTTGGTCGCATCCTTTTTCTACTTCGCATTTTCCATTTGCTCAAATCAATTTGTTCGATTTTTGGACGAACCATTTGCGTTCTCTCTTGAGTTGGACTATCAAGCTTGGTCGTACCGAAGGCCAGCCTTCACCCTCTGTTCCGACTATGATAATGAACGTTTTATTGAAAGATCCTATCAACTCACAACAAATAAAACCTTCAGTCACACTTCGAAAGACTATCAGGACTATCGTCATTACATGAAGTTAATAGGCTCTTTGAACGCAGAGAAAATACACCTGATCAATGAACTTGAAAATGCCACTTTGTTCCAAAATCTTAGTGGAGAAGATATGTTAAATATCGCATATAACGTAAGTGTTCTACAAGTGTTCTAGTTAATATCTTTCATCTTTCGTTGTTTATCGAAATATTTACAGGTAAAAAATAACGACACAAGAATATTTGCCAATATTTTACCTATTATAACAGAAGCTGGAATATGTTACGCGCGCACACTGTTGTACAATTACTTCAAACCAACTAACCAAACCACTGGGTGAATGAAACATATTTGCAACAAATTTCAAATCATGTTCAGACACAGAAGGTGATGAGACAACTTTAAAACTTGTTTAATCTCCTCCATGTGTCTGAGCATGACTTAAAATTGGTTGCAGTGCTGTTGCAATTGTTTGTGTTTGGATATATTTGTCATATATTGTCTGTATTTTAAAAGTTATGAAAGACAGGGTAGTAATGGCAGTTCCGCATTTAAAGAAATTGACAAATACAGTTGTCGAACGTCAGACCTCTGTAGAATGCTAACTTTTCCCGTTGTGCCTTCTGAAAAGTCGATGATTGTAAGTAGATATGGTAGTTGCAAAAATGTCGACGACACCGAGTATCAATGTATTTTCGTTTTCAAAGTATTTTCATGAATCAGACGATATGCTAAATATGCAAAGATCTCGTCAAATCGAATTTCATATGCCCAAATGGGAAAATAGACATCGGTTACATCTTGATGTGGAAATAAGTGGAGTAGTCACAACCGAGCGGTCCAAACTGTTTGGAATTGAGAGTCGTAAGTGTAGGTTTGGTGAAGAAACAACATCGAGTCACAGTTATCCAAACGGTGTGTACAAACAAAATCTGTGTCTAATGGAATGCGCCGCTAATGCAGCAGTTAAATTGTGCGGATGTCGACCATTCTTTTACAAATTGGGTGATTTAATATTGAATTGAGAATATATTCAAACTTTTTTATCAAAACCATAATATTGAGTCAATTTCAGGTTTGGGGCCATTGTGCAACGTCACTGGAATGTAAAACGCTTTGTTATTCCATAAATTTCTGTTATTATACTCGTTTAAAGCCAATACGGCTTCAGTAACGCGTATTAGAACAATTCACGCTTCGTGTTTACTCGGCACATCATCGCTGCTTTACGGAATATCAGCCGTTGAGTTCGCTGCGAACTGTCGTGATCTAATGCATGTGTTTGCTCACAGCCATACACAGTCAAAGAAAGTTCGCACAAAAGAGAATGAAACATTTACATATGGCTACTTGATGTTTTTTGACCACGTCGCAGTGAATTCTACTGCTGATATTCGCCAAAGCGAAGAAGATGTGCCTATATTCTTCTAATACGGGTAGTAAAATCGTATTGGCTTTAAACGAGTATATGTATATTTATTTTCACATCATTGTAGGATTTGTTTATCGAAAAAGAATTGGACTGAATATCGAATAAAATGTTCATGTTGGCCGCAATGCAATTCAGTTGATTACTCAATCATTCCGACAGCTAAATTCGACATTCGACAATCTGATATTTTCATAAATTCGAAAATTAAAAAGACTCGAATAAAACGAGACTTGAAATTTGGCATTCATTTTCTGATTGGTATGTTTTACTCTAATGTTTTCCTTTCAGTGGGTCACTCTTAATATTAAATTGGTTCAAAATTGAATTCTTATTTTTTTATCCTTCGCGTATGTTCCATGGAAAGTATCATTCGGCGGAGCCGCGGCACTATTTTCTGGTTGCAGTTTTATAAGCGTTGCAGAACTCATATACTATGCCGCAAGACACATAAATCAGAAATATTTTTAAAGGTGAAATTAAAAACATGTGGCCCTGATTTTACCTAATTTCTTTATGCTTTCTTTTTTAAGGCCACATATATACACGATTTCGTTTTATTGATCAACGCACGCAAAGTTTGATTTTCACCTTGGGGATAAATACATACTCTTTTGAGTGAATATACGGACTTCATTCCAACCTAATTAAAAACATAAATTTATTAATTTACACGTAGTTTGAATTCAAATCAAGTGTATAACACGTTTTTGTTCAAAGCACAATAAAATGTGTTTCATGTCATGCAACTTCTAATCGTTAATCTAATTATTTTTCGACTACTTTGAGATTAGATAACAATCATTAAAACCATGTATTTTTTTAATGATTGTTTAGTGGTTTCACGCAAAAAATCTTTCGTACGCAATTCGATGAAAAGAAACAAAATTGTGGAGTTTCCCAGTTATACAATCCAAATATTTCATTGGCGCATGTGCTTTTGAGATCAATGAAATTGAATGGATCAAAAATTGCTCATGTATGAATTGATTTTTGAATACTTTGCTTTTGCATTGAAAAGTATTTAAAGAATTCAGTTAATGTTCATTGAAGCTAAATGCTGACACAAAGATCTTTATGTCAAAACTATTTGTGATAAACAAAGCGTCCACAAACGAGGCCACAGGACATATCACATACAGCGACGCATTATTAATATGCCCCAAAATTGATTCTAATCGTGTTTTCTTCACGAAATAGGCATAAAAATACGTTTTGTGGTGAATTTTTTTTTTGGTTTAATAATTTACCTTTCCAAAACTTTTAATATAATCTAATCGGTGAGATTTAATGCCAATTACAATTTGAATGTATCGTTTTTATCATGAGATCTCATCTTTGAGATAAGATAAAAATAACAACCACATATTCTTTGTGCAATTTTAGATGAGAATTAGTGGATTCACGCAAGCAAGTCGAAACAAAAAAAATCTGTAGTCAAATTATTGTCAATATTCACAAATAACGTTTCTGAAGCTATTTCCATTCAATTTTGCAAAAATTTATCGTACGAAATTCGATGAAGAAACAAAACTGTGGAGGAATTGCTCTTTTCTAGAGTTATACAATCCAAATATTTCAATAGCGCATGTGCTATTGAGATCAATGAAAGTGAATGGATCAAAAATTGCTCAGGTATGAATTGATTTGTGAATATTTTACTATTGCACTGATTGCGTAGATTAAAAGTATTTAAAGAATTTGTTTAATGTTCGTTGAAGATAAATGCTGATACAGATAAACAGTTCACATACAACGGGCTTTATGTCAAAACTATTTGCGCAGCACAAAACCTCCAAAAACGAGGCTATACACCGAAGCAGGTGTTTGGATTTATGGTAAAAAATTCCGATGATGTCACACCACTGGTATTTGCTGCTTTTTCGATTGGTTGTCTACCAGGTATGTGTAATACTTCAGAGGGATATCGTTTCGATCTACCAAAGGAGTCAACCAGTTGCCGTGTTTTGTGATATTGACTTCTATGATTTAGTCAATGAAAGTCTCAAAGAGGTTGGAATTAATGCACAAATTTTTACATTGAATGGTGCTAAAGGTGACTCAGAAACGGTCGAAAATCTCTTTGAGAAAATAGGGACGGAGGACAGTTTTATGTAAGTTGGATTTTTTTTTACCAAGTCCCCAGAAGAGCTCGGTGTCGTAACAGGTAAAATCGTTTTGTTTTTCTCGACATTTCTAGACCCATCCAGGCCGATGGAGTCAATGATGCTGCTATAAAAATGTGTTCATCTGGTACAACAAGTCCATCCAAAGGTAGAACTTATTTAAAACTTTTATTTCACCATCAAACTTCAACTGATAGGCGCCGTCAGGGTGCCTTTTGCAGCTTTGAACGAATACAATTCTTATTTGACAAATGGGTGTGCAGTGAATGTTTATGGATTGTCTGAATTTGGATTTGTAACGAATGATTTTCCAAAAAGCGGCAAAGACACGATTGGTTAGTTAGCAAACGGTTTGGTTTTAAAAATCATTGATGAAAATGGCAATCGCTGTGGTATTGACACAGACGGTGAGCTCTGCCTTAAAAGTTTGTAAAAATTTATTGGCTATCATGGATGTGAAGAGTTGACGAAAGTGTCCATTGACGATGAGGATTTTTTTGAACTGGAGACATTAGTCATGTGGACAAAGATGGACACATATTTATCGTTGATAGAGAAAAAGATATTTTGAAATACTGCAGTCGAAAATTTTCATCACCCGACGTTGAAAGTTTACTGATTACATCACCTGAAATTGAATCTGTTTGCGTCGCTGGTGTACCTAATGATTTGGCCGGAGATTTGCCTGCTGCTCTTGTTGTGCGCAAAATCTATTCGAAAATATCTGAAAATGATATCTGTCAAATGGTCGTATGAATTTATGAACATACATAAATTGAAAATTCAACGTGAATCTCTGTATGATTAAATGTTTGCAGCTTTTTCCACAGATCATTTTCCTGATAACTGTAAGCTCCGTGGAGGTGTTTATTCCTACAACAACAAGAGGCAAAATGTTACGTAGAAAAGCAAAAAAAATTGCCATGGAAAGGTTCAACTGTACATCTGTACCTGAATGTAATTAATATTATTGTGATTCTGAAAAATAACTTTGATATACAGTTCTTGTGAATTCTATTCGCTGATAGGATAAATTAAAGTTCACAATGGTAACTAAGACATTTTTTATTTTGCATAAAAATATATTTTTGGAAAATGTTGCTTGTGCCACTAATACATGTACTAGTCAAAATAAAGACATAAATACGTGCATAAAATGTCTGCATTACAATTTGGTTTTTTTCTATTCTAGAACAAACGTTTTCTTATTAAATTTTAATTAATGCTGTTTCAATTTTTATCCAGATTTTTTTCGAAATTTCGCCTGACTGTCACTTCCATCAAAGAGAATAATATTTAAATTGGCGCGAGAATCGTGTGAATGACACAACAAAACTAGTATTGACCGGAATAGGTAATGTGAAACAAGCAGTTGCGTGTCGTGGTATAAACCATCGATAAAATTAGAGTGTGTTTAAACAACAAAACAACAAACTAAAAAATCCCAATGAAAATGTGAATATTTTTCAAAATTAGTTATGATTTTTTCAACGAACGTGTGAGCAAAAGTGTGTGGAATTTTCCAAAAATGGGCGAAATGTCAAACGAAATGAATTGTGAACAGCAAAAGTAAATTGAGCATGTCGATTCCATAAGAATTGAGCCGAAAAACTTGAGACACAAAAAAAAAGTTGTTCAGTGAACATCGCGTGTTGAAGTCCGTGCAGTTGTGTCGCAAAAAATGTGTTCTAATACGGCTCATTGTGCACCGACGGCATCACAAAAAATATGCACAGCCGGTATGACAATAAACAAAAACATGAATCTGTCCCGTTCTACCCTTATTGTCAGCTGATGAACCATTTTTCTATTCTGTGTGTATGTGTTAGTGAGAGAAGGGCCCATTACGCTCGTACGATGCCGGCGTCATTGAAACCAGAGCATCTCACACAGCATCTCACACATATACATGCGCATTGCGCAAGTTACTTTCATCGTCCGATCTCGCACTTATACATTTACGTTAATGACGATTATGTTGATGTTGATTGTGTGCTGTGCTTTGTGGGGACTTTTAGTCGTGCAAAAATAACCATAGTGACAACAACGAAACAAAAAAAATTTGCTACCAAACACCATGGCAGAATACCGTTCCGGGAAAAACAATGTAAGTTTTTTTTTTGTCATTTTATATGCAAGTGCGTAGTTTTTCTCAATTTCAACGGCTCTTCTGTACCTCAACCTATTTTTTTTGTTCGAAATTTCGATTTTTGCGCAAAGAAAAATCCAGCCGCTTCATGTGTTGTTTTTTCGTACATTTTGTTTTTAAATTCCGACCATTCGGTCGCGATATAAGATTTCTTAGATGTAAATTGTGTTTCGTCTTCATCGTTTGCTAAAAAAAAAACCACTGTTCGTTGTTGCTATGCCAATTTCGATGAAAAATATAAAAAATCACTTTTCAGTGGAAATACGGATGCGATTTTTTGTTAAATCAAAATAAACATTCCGGCAATTCAATTGATTTTTGTTTATTCGGGCATTCAATTTAGGCACCAAATAGCCAGTGTGACAGTTGCCAGCACATTAGTTTATCCTAATGCATGTTATTGCGTATTTTTTTCGTATACCAAATTGAAAGTCGGTTTGTGTGTGTATGGTCAGAAATAATTCAACCAAAGCATAAACTCCTCTAGGATTCAATGGTTTTTATCATTTATCGTGTATTTTCAACATACATTTTTATGCGATTTTCTCGAGAGTCAAGCGCAATAAGGGCACACTATATAAACGCCATCTATTAATAACCGACTAACTACAATGTAAATCAAACGTATCTGTTTCCCCTTTTTATTTACTCCCTTCCCCTCTCGCTATACTTTTACATTGTAGTTAGTCTGTTTTACAAAGATGTCGTTTCTGTGTAAGATGTGTGACGTCACAATGTATTTATATGGATAGCGCTCGACTCTCGGATTTTCTTGAACGAAATATTTCTGTCCGATTATTAATTGATAAATTTGTTTTTATTTTTTCGTTTGTAGTTCGACGAATACTGTTGGAAATGTCACAAAACCGAGCCGGGTCTATTTTGTACAGAATGCGAACGAGCATTTCACATTTCGCCGGCCTGTTCAAAATCAAAAGCAATGACTGCCGAAGCGCAGAGTTTATGGAGATGTCCCGAATGCATCAATTTTGAAAGAGATCGCGTTGAAAGGTGAGCAGTTCAAATGATGGGGTTTTTTTGTTTAAAAGTCTAACCATTTATGCAATTCATTTCAAATTTCAGCCAAATGGATCAGCCGTATTTGAATCGGGTTTTGGGTCTTGTTGCCGACGGGCTTCTTGCAGATGAATATGTAAGTGCCATGTTTCGTCATAATTCAGATATTGTTTCTACCAAAAAGGAACTACTTTTTCTCCTTTGTAGCTATGCAGCAAACTTCTGAACATTGATTTCTCGGACGTCGATGAAACCGTATTCCATCCACTGGATCTGGCAAAAATCAAGGACAAAACCACGAAGCAGCAATATCGATGCATTGCAGAATTCTCGGCCGATATTAAGTGGATTGAGCACAATGTCAAAGCACACTTGTCACGACGTGAGTATCATTTTTGCTAATTATGAGATGTATATCTATGACAGCCAGTTGAGATTGCATTTTTATTCCAAATACTTTTATTCTGTCTACACATTAGGTGACAAAGATGCCGTGGATAAGACAAAATGGTTAGTGGATTACACAAATGAAGAAATGGCATCCATTCGTATGTGTTCCGAGTGCTACTGTGAAGCGAACCAAAGACCAGATAATTGGATGGTTCGGCCTTGTCAAAAGCCCCACTTATTGGTAAAACATAGCTAGTGTGTCAGTTGACAGCACATTAATTTGTTCTACATTTTACTGCGTAGGTGTGGGCTAAACAAAAGGGATACCCATATTGGCCAGCCAAATTATGTACTGTTGACGACACAGTTGTTGGCCGTCCAATGGTCGACATCTATTTTTTCAGTGAAAATAACAAGCGATCAAGATTATCGGCCACCAACTGTCGAATCTATTCGGAAGAAAATCCTGGCAACGTTGACTCACACCAGGATGCATTAAAACTCGCAATTTATGTAAGTTGTTCTATGAATAGAATTTCTGTCTTTAAAGACCAAAAAAGACACTCTTGTTTTTAATTAAAAAAAAAACAGCAAGCCGACGAGTATCGAAAAAATCTCATCTTTAAATTCGGTTCTTTTCATTTTGGACCAAAAAACGGACGGCTAGATGTAAGAAATTTGGAGCGTCACTTATATGAAATGATTCCCGGGGCATGGAAACAATTAGGCCATGAATATGCTCCCAAACCAATATCGAAAGAACGCCGACAAACGATCGCATCGGTGAAAGGATTGTCATCAAGTGTTGGCAACGTACACTCTCGTCGTAAATCGATTGCTGCGAACACCCGACGATTAAGTCAAACTATTTCCATGGACAATAAGAAATTGTCGATGAACGAAGCCACAACAAGTTTTGGTAATTATAAAAATGACATTCTCATAAACATTTTCTCATATTTGTTATCCATATCAAATACAGATCATAGCTCATTGCGAATTGCCAAACCGAAGAAGCAAAAAATTTACGATAATTTGTCAATCAGCTCGCACAAAACAGTTAACCCACCGGCACCAATTACTTCAACGAATGTGGTGCGTCCTTTTGAAGTTCCAGCAGGCCAAAAGGCACGAAAGACATTCCCAAATACACCACACTTCATTCCAACTGTAAAAATTCCGATCGTACCATCAGCACGGGTTGAAGTCAAGCAAGAAACAAAATTGTTTGAAAAGCGAGGCGATTCGTACTTGAAAAGCGAGGTAAAGAGCGACGTGGATAGCGATGTGGTGATTAAGGAGATTCCATCGCAAACGATGACAGTCGATTCAAGTTCCATGTTCGCTATTCAAAATGCCGTGATCGAACAAAGCACGCTTCAAATGACCGAATGTATTCGTTCATCGTTGCAATCAACATTGATGAACTTTCGCGACATTCCATTGTTATCAAATAAAATGTTGCAAGAAGAGATCGATCAGTTACGCATAAAGAACGATTTATTGACGCTGGAAAATCGCAATATGAAGAGCATTTTGGATCAACACAATGAATGTATTGAGCATGAAGCCGATTTGATGACACAAATTGAAGGTCTGAATGCGATCATCGATCAATTTAAAGCCGAAAATGAACGGTTGAAACGTGATTTGGAGAGAAGCGATCTTAAGAGGAAGAAACAATGGTGCGCCACATGTGACATGCCCGGCAGCCGATACTACTGCAGCAAACCATGTGAAGATTTGGCGTAAGTTTATTTCAAATTGGACGATTTAATTTGGAACCATTGCCAATTGGAATGAATTTTAAGTAGTTTTTTATTTCTTTTGTTGTTTCAGCATGAGTTTAAACAAGAAATAAGATTTTTTCATCTCATACCAAAACGCCTTCTCATCGTACACCAGAACACCCAATCAAATATCAATGACCGACTTCAATCCAATACAAATTCCCACCATACACGATTTTTCTTATTAAGAATTAAAAAGAATTTTTAGAATTAATAAAAACTTGAATTACATTTTCATGAAAAAATGTATAAGAATTTATTATTAGTTAGATTTATAAGAAACAAATTCTGTAATATCATGTGACAGGGCCACAATGCTCATTTGTGAGCAAAAGAATTGTCTACTACGATATTCCAATTCATTAAATTCCACCAAAACCAATTTGGTTTTATTAAGACTATTTCTGTTGTTTGACTTTGTTCAATTGACTGATTGCAAATGAAAAGGAATGGAGAACAATTTTCTTCAAATACAGTGCTGTTAACTTGTGAATTTTACCACACAATGTGTCAAAGTATCAGAGAGCAACTGAAATATTCCATATTTACTAACTCACTCGGTAAATGAATGAGAGTGCAAGATATAAATGAAAAGTACCAAATTTGTTGGACCTTTAAAGAAGTGATAGCTGGTTTCAGTCAACAATCTGTTTTCTATTCTCTCTTTTATTGTTTTCAATGTCAATGCAATATGTGACCGATCGAATCTATGGCACGATCTTAAATTCAGAATATCCAGAATTTACACAAACTAATGCAGCGTAAGTGGGCACAGTGGATACTAGGACTACTGCGGCACTATTCGATCAACTGAGTTAAGCTGCAGAAGCTTTGGTCAGGAGATAAATGGGTGACCGAACATCGTATGTAGTCGTAAAATACTGTGTCAACCGTGTCTGTGTACAACAAAGGTATGGATTTCAGCACAGACACGTAAAATAGAAATCCAACGCCATATAGAATATAGCAAAATAATAAGAAATGTAGGATACAATCGGCTGATCACCGATTTATCTGAATTAACTGATCAACAGAAACCAGAAAGATAAGAATTCTTATCTGAAGGCAATGAGAGGATGTGAAGAATTCAAGTCTCTTTGAGCCGACGGTGGCGCACTGAATTTCAAAGGGGACGTCAATGTAATTTTACAACTCAAATCGAAACTAAACAGCGCGCCAATTTTAAAATTTGCTGTCATTTCCTCCCATTGTCTGAAGGCCCTATGCACTAGGAGATGAAGGAAATTAAAAAAAATGCAGCGTAAGTAATTTTCTCATTTATCTCTTTAGTGTAATCCATTCCTAACCAATTTTCAATGTAAGTCTGATTGTGATATTACATCAAATCATATAACAAATACATCAAATCATTGATTTCAGAATTTCAGTAAACAACATCAAGGCTGAATGACAGCAATGCTGACTAACATCACTTGCTCCGTAAGATCTCCGCAAAAGCTAGATCTAAGTGTGCATATTCCGCACATACACACGCAGACTCATTCTTCTTAGTTCGCCTACTTTGATTTGCGTGTCGAAACAACACGGTAAAACGAATGCATGTATCATGCGGCGGCGCACGCACGCTTAGATCCAGCTCTTGTAGAGATCTTACGGATCTATCCTATCCAAAAATCAAAGTATGTGGTCATTTCAAAATCAAAAATAAACTGAGAACTCCATGGGGCCAATACCGGGCTTAATTCTCGTCCTCAATTAAGTGGAGTGCTACTCATCCGAAAAATCTCAAGTAAATGAAGAAGGTAATTTGAAAAATAACTGTAAACACTCAGCTTTTTACGGTAAAAATCCAGAATAATCAATGTTTTTATTCAATTTCAGTTCATTCTCTAAATCTATTGATAGATGGATAGTCTAATCTAATCTAATCTGAATGAAGAAAAATCAATCATTACTGATTGCATTTTATATGCAAAAATAATTGATTATTTGCGAAACTAGTCATTTCGAAGTGGAAGCATATCGCTTTCGGTAAATTCCAGTTTCTCTTTAACTGTATTACTGCAAACGTCGCATACAAATATTTTGTCATTTTTACTTGAACTTCGGCATTCGATATGAATGCAATTATCGCCACAGAAATAGCAGCACAACACTTCCCATTTGCCACGGTCTTCTTCGTAATGAATGCCATGCGGGCAACGGCACGTCTCAGCAACGTATTTATATGTGTATCGTTCAACATCATCGTAAGCACCGTCCGCTTCCCAATCTAAATTTCGGAATTTAAAAAAATCAGCAAATTTTAAGCAATGTTGAATCGCAGCATTGAACGAACCATATAGAATCAACGTTTCTCACCTGGTTTCTTGTCTGGGCAATAAATACCACGATTCCGTAGATAGTCTTGGTAATTACCGTCGTTGTCAAGACATCCACAACTTGGGCATTTTGTTTCACGACCAGCCGTTATTGCATACTTTTGCATGCATTTTTTGTGGTAATACCGATGCCTGTAATTTGATTATAAACGCCAATTGGATTGTAGCAAATTTGGCACTTCCATAAGCTACCGTGAAAACTAAACTTTTCGGTGATTTTAACGTGCTTGTCGCAGAATGATTGGAAGTTATTGTTGAATGTGGACAAACAGTCATTTTTTTCACCGCAAATGACATGAAAAAAACGTTGACATTTTTCGTCTGCACAAGGAACTGATGCTCCTCCATTTTGACAGTATACGCATTTGGTCTCTTTATGTCGTCGTATTAGATCGCGAATGTCCTTCGCCATAAAACTGGGCATACCATTATCGTGTTCGTCTTTTTTGACCAAATTCGGTGACAACAACTGAAAGGGAACCAGTTGAAAAATCATTCAACACTTTAGCTTGGTATTTAAAAATACTTACGGCGCAAAACAAATGGATCGTAATATCTTCAACGGTCATCCACTCGAAATTTCCCAGTACACCTGTGTCGCCGAACTTGCAAATCTTACACACTCGGTCAGACGCCATTTTGATCTTGGTTTTTTTAATCTGTTAAGTAAAAGAAACAAATTTACGGATATTTTTATCGAATTGTCTTGTTGTCTTTATTCATTTTCGACTGAAATTACCATGGAAAACGAGCACTTTCACAAATCAATGTCACATTTAATTGTATCGGAAAATATTTAATATCACAAGACTGAAATTACCGTGCTGCTCCCTCAGTTTTTTGCGTCGTTGTTCTGTTGTGCAGTGCTGCGAAATGATAGCTGTTAATTGATCCATCAAAGTTGTACATTTCTAAGCTCTTTGACAGCTGTTGACTTTTCGCTCTTCGATTTGAGCTAATTTCGGGCAATCGCTGTGTTCGTTTCGAACGCATGAATTTAGTCCAGTTATGGTTATAAATATTTGAATTGACACCAGTAATCAAATTGGGAGAATTTTCAGTGAAAAATCATACATTTTCAAATAATATGAATAATATATTGGTATCAAGAGTTGGCAATGTTCCGACTCATCGTAAATCGGTTACTTTGACTCCTCGATGTCAAACGATTTCCAAGTACATTAAACAATCATCGGTGAAGGAAGCCACACCAAGTAAATATTCCAAAAAATTCCATATATTCAATCGCATTACCCATGAACATTTTTTCATGTTTATTTTATCCATATCAAATACAGATCAATTGATGAATAGCTCATTGCGAATTGCCAAACCGAAGATGCAAGAAATTTACGACAATTTGCCAATCAGCTCGCACAAAACCGTTAATCCATCGCCACCAATTACTTCAACAAATGTGGTTCGACCTTTTGAAGTTCTGGTCAGACGAAAGGCTCGAAAGTCAATCTCAAATGCACTGAACTTCATTCCAACCAAAAGAATTCCAATCGTACCATCACCACGGGTTGAAGTCAAGCAAAAAACGAAATCGTTCTTGAAAAGCGATGTGATGGTTAGAGAGATAAAATCGCAAATGGTGGTAGACGATTCAAGCTCCATGCTTGCGATTCAAAATGCCATGATCGAGCAGAGCACGTATCAAATGACCGAATGTATTCGTTCATCGTTGCGATCAACAATGATGAACTTTCACGACATTCCAGTGGATTCAAATCAAATGTTGCAGGAAGAGGTCAATCAGTTACGCATAAAGAACGATTTATTGACTCGGGAGAATCGCAATATGAAGAACGATTTGGATCAACACAATGAATGTATTGTGCGTAACACTGATTCGATGGCACAGATTAGCAGTCTGAAGGAAATGGTCGATCAAATCAAAGCCGAAAATGAACAGTTGAAGCGAACTTTGAGAATAAGCGAGCTAAGGAGAAAGAAACAATGGTGCGCCACATGTGACATGCCCGGCAATCGATACTATTGCAGCAAACCATGTAAAGATTTGGCGTAAGTTTATTTCAAATTGAACAATTTCAGTTGGAAACATTGCCAGTTGAAATGAATTTTAATTGGGTTTTTTCTTTTGTTGTTTCAGCATCTGTTTAAACCAGAAATAGGAATCATCTCATGTCAGGATGTCTTCTCAATCCATATTAAGACCTCATCACATCTCACACCGGAGCACCCAATCAAATCGACCGATATCAACGACCAAATTTCCATTTATTATAAAATAAGAAAACGATTTTTATTGACAATTTTTTTACCTTTCCGCTCACACGTAGTGTGTATTAACAGAAAAGTATTTTAGAATACATTTAATTGTACAGAATTCATTTCATTGTTCCACAAGAAGAAAATATAAATCAGAGATTTCCAAGCGAAAAAAAATCCGTAGTGATTTTCACCGAGATTCAAAAAATTAATTTTTATTTTAAAAAGAATTAATTATCTTCATTCCAGTGTTCATTTTAATTTTCCATTCGCTTTCTGAAAAATGGGTTAACCCGAAAATCGATAGGACGCGTCCTCTGACGCTAATTTCACAAAGTGTTGCGAATGACATTTCAATTGTGTGTGCATAGTGACCGATACACAATCATTCGTCCCTTTTCGCCGATAACAAATAAGCATCATCTCACACCAGCACGCGCTTAATTCATGTTAGAAATCTTCACTCCGATCATCCAATTCGATTCTGTCTCTGTGTATGCGCGTTTGTCTGTGTGCAGACGCGTTCGGTGTTCGTATTCAGTCATATGAAATTTTATCATTAGATTGGACGTGTATCGCGAAATCCAATGTAATTTTGATATTAAAGTAGAGAAAACTTTGTCTGATAGGATTTTTATCGGGAAAATCGAACTCTCTTTGGAGTCCAAAGTTTTTATTAATAGGTAATCAACGATTTTTCAAGCAAATTTCATTATTTGACCTATTAACTGTACTTTGCGCATCAAAAAAATACAAAACGCCATATTTGTTTCATAATTTTTTCACTCTGTTTGTTTCATGGGAAGGGTGACAAGCATGCAGCAATTTGGTGCAGCGACAATTCGCAGTCGAAAACAGGTAATTTTCTTCAGGTTTTTTTTCATGGTTTTTGAGACCACACAATCACCTTCGACGACAAAATCGGTACCTGTGAACTGTAAATGCTTTCTGAGACAATTGGTAACGCTGCGATTGGTTAAAGCTGTCCCTTTTAAAGGAATTCTACCATTGGTCTGCGTATTGTAAAATATATGTCTATTGTTTTCAAGCCGTATTTGTGCTTTTTATTGAATTTTGCCGAATGACAAAACAAACTTATAAAGCGGTGAATCGCACCAATTGTTCAATATTGAGTCAGCACAGTTTCGATTTTAATCTGTGGCCGAAATCTCGCATCGTAAGCACATTGTTGAATGGTTAATTTGGCATAAATCTGTCGATTAACGACGTTCATTGTCGATTGATACTAAAATGTGTCATTTTACAGATCCCAATTTAACGGATTAAGCGGCAGCGATTGTTGGTTCATTCGAAGAAATTCTAATTTGTCTCATTATTCTTTACAATGATTTTTTTTTCAGCACGAATCGGATACATATTGTTGGACATGCCATCGCGAGAAGCCAGAGCTCTCGTGTTCAACATGTGTACGTTCATTCCATATTTCATCATTATGTTCGCACGCCAAGCGGGTGTCGGAAATTGACAAGACAAAGTGGCGATGCACCGAATGTTTGGACATTGAAAATGGCGCCGAGCAACTTAAAGACAAGTAAGTGACTTTATGAAAATCTTTGCATGGTTTTGATTCGACAAAAAGCAACAATGATGATATTAAGATATTATGATAGAAGTGTGATTAATAAGCGCCATTCTGAATTTTATTTGCTAGAAAAATTGGGACATTTCGTAAAAAGCCATCCATTAATACCATTTGCAACCATTTTCAGACAAATCAGTGCCGGTAAACTGAAGGAGGTGTTGAATTACATGTACAATAAAATGATCGAACTGGAAAAAAAGGTGAGTAAAATTGGGGTGCGATCAATACAAACAGCCAATAAACCAATTTTTATTTTTAGCATATCGAACCATTCATGACCGTTGAATACCCAAGAGGTGCGGTCGTCAATACAATGGATTTGTCGACAATTCGTAAGAAGATCGAAATTGGTGCGTATAGTTGCTGTGAAGATTTTCAGTCGGACATCAAGTGGATTCTGCACAATACAAAAGTTCATCATCTGGGTAAGGGAAATGAAAAGAAGTCTTAGTGGCCTTTTTCTGAATAAGTAATTTTTTGTTCTTTGCAGCCGATTATGACATAGCTAGGTCGGCAAAGTTCTTGCTTGACTTTGTAAAGGAAAAAGTGTACTGCTTTAACATGTGCCCCGATTGCTATGCCACAAATGATGAAGGTGAAGATGAAGACTCGGAAGAACGGTTTACAATGCTGTGTTCGAGACCACATCTAATATTATGGTATTTTATTAAGTATATTAATAGCTTGTATTTCACATCTAATCTTATGGTATATTACTTAAGGGCGAAACAACGGACGTATCCGTATTGGCCAGCGAAATTGCTGAGATACAACGGTGACAATAATACTTTCGATGTTCGATATTTTGGTGGCGCTCATTTACGAGCCATTTTGCCAGTCAAAGATTGTCTGTTGTACTCACGCCAAAATCCAAGTACCTCCATTGGAAGGCTGAAGGGTTCATTGAACGAAGCGGTTAAGGTAGGACAAATGAGCTCTGACTTATTCTATTTCGATCCTATTCTAGAGATCTGGATTTCCTCTTTCTCTCTCCCTCTCTCTAGAGTCTTTCTCTTTAGACAGTTTACTCTATTACTTTTTCGCACAATTGTGGAAGTTTTGGGAAAGACGTATTTTTTCTAATTCCGACTTTTTCCTTTGATCACCAGGAAGCTGAATGCTACATCAAAAAACTGATCGCCAAATATGGTCAATTTAATCTTGCCGAACCACTATCATTCATACATGGAAATAATCTGGAGCGTCATTTATATGACACCATACCGGGTGCATGGAAAGAACTTGGTAATGCCATTGTTCCGCCACCAATCAAAAAATTGGCATCAGCTACAGTTTCACGACGAATGTCAATGCCTGCAAAACGATCTAGACGCGTATACTCAACGTTAGAACCGTCGGCCGTCGAAGTGATCGCCTCAGGACGAGTCATTACGCGACGAATGTCAACGATCATTGATGTACAAAATGAGCCCACAAAAGCAGCAAAGCCCATCGAATCTGAAGAAAAAAAGCCTACAAAAACGGCAAAATCCACCGAATCGACCAAGAAAGCAAGACCAAGACCATACCGGCGTCAATCAGTTCAATGTGAACGTTCAGTTATAATGACCGTTTCATCTGCACTAACGAGAGACACAAAAAACAATGGTAAGACACTAGCAACGATCAGCAAGCGTTCAGGATCGCATACATTTATGCGATACATTGAATGATGCATGCATCGTTTGATGCGAATCAAATAACGCAAACACAACGCTAACGATGTCGCTATGAGTACGGACCTGACAGCGCACCACGTGCTTATATGATACACGTAATGATGTGAATGTTCAATAAAGCAAGACCGTCGTGTGCTACTAGATCCGCACGTACAACGACAGCGTTAGCGTTATTTGATGCGCATGAAATGATGCATGCATCATTCAATCTATCGCATAAATGTATGCGATCCTGAACGCTTGACGATCAGTGCATTTTATGTACTGAATCAATTGATTCCAATGACTTTCCCTTTGGTACAAAGTGTTTTAAATAATTTTCTATTCCATAGACCCGATTGCTTCAACAAGTCGGTTGCCACCAATATCACCGACGAAGTCGGCTCAAAAGCGAAAACTGAGCCAAAATGGTGATGCGTCGCTCCCGAACTTTTCACGTGAGACGGAATTATCAACATCAACGATTATTTCTGGTGAAAATGCCAGTCTGAATCTCAGCGATGATAATGGTTCTGTATTCAAAGTACCGTTGATACCAAAGCGCCGAAAATTGTCATCAAATGTGCTCAAAGATAAAACGATTGTCAAAGCTCAGTCAACGTTCAATACTCATACTATGAATGAATTATCTACACCAAATCCGACGCGCAAAACAATCCAAAATACACAGGTGACCGATCCATCTTCGACGGTGCGAAAAATCCAATTGACGCCAGAAATGTCAAATTTGTGCAAGACGGTGATTGAGAAAAGTGCTCAAAAAATGACGGAAAGTGTTCGACTATCGCTCACAGAAACATTATTCGATTTTTTGAATACATCGAAGCCGGGCGAACAAATCCAATTATTGCAGGAGCAATTGGAAAATCAGCGAAAAACTTTCAATGAATTGATTCAAAATCTTCGAGCTCAAAATCAGAATTTAAAGGTAAATCTCAAAAAATACAAGGATAAATGTAATTCGGTGAATAAGATGGAAGGTCAAAATGTCATTGAAACGAACATGAAAGTGGCTCTTATCAACGACGAATTGGAAAAGTCCAAAGTTGAAATCAACGAACTCAACGGCCGTATGAACACAATGTCAACAAAAAATGCATTCATGACTACAACGGTGGCCAAATTGCAAGCGGCAAATAATGATTTGTCCAATAACCTGAAAATTACCGAAGCGACGAACGCACGATTGCTTAATGTCAACGCAAATTTAATGAACACCAATGCCAAATTGAACGATATCGTAAATATTTTGAAGGCAGAAAAGACGGCAATGGCCGAAAAAATGAAAGCATTAGAATTGAATTACAGCATTGCCAAGCAGAAGACGTTCGAGCAATGTGCCAAAAAGGTCACCGAAACCAAACAGCAACAGTGGTGCGCCACGTGCGGCATACCAGGCGGACAATACTTTTGCAGTGCAGATTGCAAACTCTACTTTCGATAAGATTAGAATTAGGGTCCCATTTTCATCGAATTATTATGAACACTTGTCAAAACCAATTTGGCATTCCAAGAACGATTATTATTTGTTAATTAGCAAAGACAAAAAAATTAAGTACTATTAGGTAGTTTAAGTAGATTAAGGATAATGATTCAAATAGCCAATCAATGAACAACTAAAAATTACAGTCGAAAAGTTTTCATTTCCATTGATATGTCTGCATCTGAACTCAATTGGTATAAGTTTTGTTTTGCAGTTTTAAGTCGTAAATTGTACACACGTAGTATTAGCGACAGCCCATAAAATAATGTTTTCTTTTTCAGTACACCATTTTTCCAAATGTTAGATAATTATTGCTTGTCAATTTTTAGTGTTTGAAGTATTCGATTCAAATGTATTGGCCAAATTTGTATACCAATCTTTTTTTTAAAACAAAATCTCAAGTAGATAAGTTTTTTGTGTACTATTTGTATTAAACGAACATATCGATTTGTTGAAAACAATCGAACTAGAAATTAAAACAGATTCCAAAGTTATTTTCAAAAGAGAGAATCAACATCGCATTGAATACAGCGACTACCTAAACTCATTCAGTACAAAAAGACCAATTTGTTCTCAATAAATATGCTATCAATTGACTATTTTATTTTGGTATTTTATTCTTCTCTTGTTGAACAATCCATAGGTCCAGCTTAACGCCATTGGTAACCTGGAAACTATTTAGAGCCCATTTTTAACAATTCTGATGAAAATTGCCCTTTTCCATTATATTTTTCTAAGAAATTTAATTTTCTTCATAGTTTTAGTTTAAAATCGTAAATTTTCATATGAAGTATAGATGAAAAAAAGGTCTCAAAAAGTTCATTTGATTTCTTTTTAGTGGTAGTTGCATAAATAGTTTCAGCTATATAATGAGAACACTGCCCACCACTTTTTGATATATGGAATATTTGGAGGTAGTTCCGTTTAAAGAGATGTAAAGTAGATATTTTCAATTCTCCGAAAAGTGACCGTAATTGACTTGATCACTTTTTGACCATAACTTCTATTGTTTAACGTCTTTAAACTAATATGGTAAAAATCTTGTGAGATTATTTAATTTTAATTTGGGGCGTTCCATTGTTCTTATCTCTTATTAGCGCTAATTATAGCACTCATTACAGTGCTGCTAATTATAGGGCTCGTTAAATGTCATGTTGTTGTTTTAAGATGAATGAAGCATAAATACTAAGGAGATAACAGAACGGACATTTAGTTTGTGTTCGATTCTAGAAGAGTTAACATCGTTTGTTCCTACAAGCTTAGTTGTATATTAATTTTGCAATCGTTCACATTTCGTTTTTGTGAATCTTACAAGTGATTTATTTGAAATTAATTTTTGTTTGTGCTCATTGATTTAAATCCTTTAGATCATTGGAAATGTCAGACAATCAAAGAAAATCGAGTCTAGAATCCTACGGTCAACCTCAATCCAAACGTCGTCGAATTGATACCACCGATCAGTTGAGAACAACATGCTTAAGTGATTTAAATATTGATTGTCTCGAGCTAATTTTCAACCGCTTGAGCGTAAAGGATTTGTTGAGTGTTGCAGATACAAACTCAAGAACGAGAATCGCCGCCGAGTTCTTGTTCTCTCATCGATACAGCAAAAAAGTGGTCAATCTCGATATGGAGGGTTGTTGTTTGCCATGCATAAAACTGGAAAACAATGAAATATATGTGCAAGGTTTCCGATTTTCCCTGCAGATACTGCGATGCTTTGGAGATTTGATATCCAAACTCCATATTAGTTTCAATCCAAGTCCGAGTTATTTACAAAAAACAACGCAAATCTTCGAGTACATAAATAGATATTGTGCTAAGACATTGAAAGAGATTGTAATTCAAGGACTGCTGAATTTTCCGGACACTATATTTGACAAAGTATTTGGTGAAGTTGAAAAAGTTGAATTCCGATTTTGCGACATGAATAAAATAATACAAAAATTAGATGGATGGTTTCCGAAAATGCAAAGTTTGAAGCTGTTCCGAAATAAAGAGATCAATGATATAACAATGAAGCGATATTTTCCACATTTAATTGAACTGGAATTCATTTTTGATCATCTTCACCAGCTAGTGACGGAAAAGAGCGTTGAAAATATTTGCAAATCAAATCCACAAATTCGGCGTTTAACATTGGGTAATAATGTAGATTTACAACCTATTCACGCTATGAGCAAACATCTTCAGCAACTTGAATGCCTTACCATTAAATCCATGTGTGAGTTTTTCTCATATTTCAATCAATCCGTTAATTTCAAATCGGTGAAAATGGCCCATTTATCACTGAACTATTTTCGTTTGCAACCGTCAAAAATTCCGCTTTCATTCGATCGACTTGAAGAGTTTAGCCTAAACACTTTTAAACACCAATTGGACGATAAAATGATGGATTTTTTCGCTGCGCATCCTTTGATTAAAAAATTGACCTTAATCGTACCGAACGATCATATTAACGAGAAACACAGAACAAAGCTGTTTGCTGCATTGCCAGCGATGGAAGAGCTGAACTTGCCAGAATCTGGCATTTCGAATGAGGACGTATCTTTTTATTTAAAACAATCGCTGAACATATTTACATTCAAACCGGGCAAAACATTCGATTTTGACGCAATGGCAGTTCACTTGAAGGATGAATGGGAAGCCTCGTTCGTGCGTGGTCAATACATGGTGCGACGTAAGAGTGCTCATTTAAATTAAATTCAAATTGTAAATGATTTTGTAAGCAATGTTCAATAAATATCACCGTTTTCAAATAAAAGAAGAACACTTTGAACACATGTACAATGAACATAATGAAATATTTGGTATTTTTAATTTATTTTTTGTTTTTAGATTTGAAAAGATGTTCGATAGCCAGTATCACACACTCACACAAATGCTTAATACATTTTGATATTTGATGATGTTTGGTTCTGTTTGAAACAATGTGTCTATGAGTTTTTTAACATATTTTCCTCAAATAATTTTCTAGATATTATTTTTGTGCATTGGGCTCAGAAATCCGAAAAAATAGGTTTTAAGTTGATACCTTGAGTTATGCGTGTCACAAGCAATCCGCAAATGATTTTAAATCTTTGTTTTAAAAAACCATTGAAATTATTTTGACTTTTTATCGAATTTTTATTGTTTTAACTTTATTTTGTAAAAGCAATTCGGTTACTATTATATAACTCATGGGGCGAATCACGCTAGTGAATACTAGAAAAACTAGTAAATCTAGTGCGAAGAATGACGTCACAAACGAAGCCAACTTCACACTACTGAGAGCCAACTTCACGCACTTGAATTTTCTAGTTTTCTAGTGAAATCTTATCAAAAACTAGATGCACTAGAATTTCGTGATTGAACCCATGATATAACTAAAGGAAATACTAAAAGAAAAGAAAAGTTTAACGAATTGGTGCAATAGTTCAAGTGCCATTGTACGTGCAGCTATAATATGTTGTGAATAAACGTTCGTGCTTTGTGTGGGGGAATCATTTAACTGCCGAATACCAGCGCCGAACATTGAGTGCCTGCGTATTTTGTCGTAAAGTCTATAGCCTTTTCCGCTGTTATTGCCGTGTAGCTATAGTATTCCGTGGCGTTCCATGTGCTCTTCGGTGACTTTTGGTTCGTAATGGCGGGTACGCTGCCGGTATCCGTAAATGTACCAGTACCTTTATCATCCAACATGCCTTTTCTGGCGCTGCCCGTGCCAAAATAATTATTCTCTGAAATGATCTTAGCGTTGGTCGCCAGTGTGAAGCCCAGTTCGAAATTGTTAATGTAGTTACTATAAGCGTGAAAATATCCATAGCGCATCAGACCCGGTGCTCTAACCTGCATGTTTTCGAAACGGTTATTGCAGATGGTCAAATGAGGAAAACCGTCATACAATGCATTATTGTCATCTTGCGGGTGGCCCAAAATCAGCCCGTATTTGTGGTTGACGAAATAGCAATTGCTTATGGTGGCGTAGTCGGCCCTTTCGCCAATATAAAGAAGTTTGTCTGTACTGCCATCGGTGGTATTCCATGTGTGACCAACGAAGGAGCAGTGATCGATCCAATATTTGATGCCGTAGTTCAGATATAACTGAATATCATCGTTGGCATTAATATCCGCAGAATGTTGGAAAATTAAGTTTTGAAATACGATATTTTGCGATTTGGAAGTAGCACGAAGATGGATATTATAGAGTGTACGGCTTTTAAATGAACCTATGATGGATTTATTCGATCCCATTTTAACTTTAGTAAGATTTGATGCTTTGATGTCACTGTTGATCACCAACACTCGGGCGGTGCTGTCGCCGATGTATTGGATAAGTTCCGCCAGTGTGTTGATCTCCACCACGCTGCCATTCCATCCACCAGTAACGCCGCCTGCTTTCGCAAAACCTACCATACCATTAGTTTGGCCCGTTGGATAAGAAAGCGTAAGGATTTCTGAAAAAAAAAAATGCTTAGTAAATCCACGTTTCACCTTCCGAACATGAACGATTTTTCTTCAATTATTTTTACATGTCATGGACATTGGACACATTCGAATTGTCTTACCGCGCACCACGAGAAATAAAACCAGAAATTTACATTTTAAAGAATTCATCTTTTGTTTGATTCTTGAAGTAAATGATGCTTCACAAGAGAAGTTTCAAATATATTTGATAAAATGTATCCATTTTTCTGGATTTAAATATTAAAATTCCCTATTTATGATACCAGTGATAGTGGTGATATTATCACCATGATAATGAAAACTTTTGAGCAATTCATAATAAACAAATGGAAGAAATAGTATGCCATTGAAAAGAACAAGAAAATAGAAAATACACCTTTTTGTCCCTTTATTATATATCGAACGATTGTATTGCTGAATTGTTTCGATAGTAAGATCTACATTGCGATCTACGGTTGTAATTTAAACTGGCTGTATTTGAAATTTCGTTTGAATATGATTGATATAGACACGATTGTTAGATAAGAGACAAAAAGATGTAATTTCAGATCGCTTTTTCCTCTCATTTATCGTGTTTCTTTGCGCAAAAATTTATAGAAGTTGACTATGTAGAAGAAAACAATTGATATGGTTTGTCAGTTTATCAAATATTGATTAGCAATACAATTGTTTCTAGAACACAAGCAATTATCTATAATAATTAAAAAATTTGCAATACAAATAGTTGTAGATTGTACTATAGTATACATTTGCATCGCCATTGCTTCATGTGTTAACAATAATAATAAGAAGAATATTTATTCACCGCTAAAACTGGCTGAATCTTTTGAGTTTGTACATTATTTTTTATACAATTTTGTATCTCCCACCCCTAATTTTGATTGAAATCTCTTCAAACTTTCAGAATGTCATTTTTTTGTGTAAAAAATAGTCTGTGCAAAGTTTCACGTCATTACGGTACACACTGCAATTATGTTCCATAAAAGACTGTATAAAATGCAAAACTGTAGCACAGCTAGCACCACTACGTACAACTATGGAGTTCTAGTCTGTTGTTTGTAACTGAGCAAAAGTCTTTTCACTGGTGGGAAGAAACTTAGTATAGATTACATTGAATTCCGTCGTGGCGCTAGCTGTGTTAAACTTTAAGCATAATTT